TGGTTGTTGGTTGTTGGTTGTTGGTTGTTGGTTGGTTGTTGTTGTTGGCTGTGGTTGTTGTCTTTGTTCTTGTTTTTGTTGTTCTTGTTCTTGTTCTTGTTGTTCTTGTGATGTATTTCCTTCTCTGAGGGGGGTCAGCTTTGGGGGACACACAGCTCCGGGGAAGCTGAGGAAGCGGGTGCCTATGGGATAGTCTATAGGTTGAGGATGCTGGACGACGTTGATGATATGCCCGTCCAAAAATCTACCATGAGTTTGAGGTCGTTTCCTCGCTGAAGTGAAGTGAAGGTCCGTTTCAGGTCACAAAACGTGACTAAACTATTAAAATGAAACATATAATTAGTCTTGGACTCTCAGGGTGTCATCTATGCTTTCCCAAAACAACCAGAAAGAACTGGTTGTTTCAGTATGGCAATTGAGATCCTTTACGTAGGACATGGCTGGGGAAAATGATTTGTCCAGGGATGGCCGCCGTTGAACCGCCAGGACCTGCGGGTCTTGGCGCCCGATGCTCAGAATCTCTTCGAAGCTTGGACGAGACCTGCGGAGCGACCTGGGCGCCCCAAGCACCTGCGAAGGTCTTAGGCTTCGGCGCTACTAGGGTGGAGGCCATCGCTTGGGAGGCCATCGCTTATAGCTTGGAGGCCATCAGTAGCTAGGTTGGAGGCCATCGCTAGTAGCATCACTCTTAGGTTGGAGGCCATCACTCTTAGGTTGGAGGCCATCGCTAGTAGCTTGGAGGGCATTGATGCTAGGCTGGAGGCCATTGATACTAGGGTGGAGGCCATCGCTAGCAGGGTCAATGTAGGTAATGATCGATTCATGGTGTGTTTGGGATTTTTCAATTGTTGAGTTCTGTCCCCAATGGTTTAGTCTAGAATAGTTTAGACTCGACAGGTGTTCTGGTTTTCCGCGGCAAGAGAAAACACCCCGATTCTAGATGCTTGCCTGCTTGGCAGGCTTACTGTTGGCAGGTTGGTCGTGTTCTTCAAGACTACTCAGACTACCCAAGTCTTGGAAACTAGCAGCTCGAACCACCAGACACGAGCTGGTAGGAAGATCAAGGGCACCAGTACACCTCTAGCCATAGAATTCACAAGCTCGACTTCAATGTGGGAATTGCATTTTCTCTTCAAACATCTTGAAACTAATTCACATGAATATTTGTGGGCACCCTGGGATCTACCCGGCCTCAACGTTTGGATGACCAAGGAGAATTGGGACATTTCCTTGAAGCAGGTGGATCACATGCTTTTGGACCAGATGAACACTGGTGATGGTTGGGATGTCACTGCCTGCCGATGGCTCCAAAACAATGAGGAGTTGCGCCCCGGGGCCGGGCAGGCGGTGAACAAGCTACTTTGCAAATGCGACGTGAACAATTCGGTTATAACCCAAAGGCTCCATGCAATCCAATATGGCCTACATTCATTTCACCATCAAAACCCACCAATTGTATGCCATATATTTGCATACATGGAGCATTTGGGCTTTGAACCTGAATTGGAATAGAGAAAACTTGGTAGGGGAAGCTAATTTTGGAGTGGACTGCTTGCCCTTCTTGATTCGATAGGCTTGATTTCTCGGCCACTGGTTTTCACCTCTGAATGTAACAAATCATGCAACATCTTCTTCCCACTTGTTGATGTGTTTTCCCTG